GCATGTTATGGCGCTGATCGCGCCCGCTTGCCCGCCAGCGTCCGTTCCCCGATTTTGATTCTCGAACAGGAAGTGTTCTGGATTAGAATGCGAATTCTCCGATCCTCGCTTGACGCGATGGCCGCCGAGGAAAAGCTTCTGAGTGATGGTTCCCAGGTAGGTAGGTTTAGGCGGCGGGGGGGCAAGGGCCTCCGTGGCCCCGCGGTCGGCGAGAGCACTGGTGAAGGATCAGCCCTCTCCCCTGGCCTCGCGGCCCCCGTCCCTGTGCCCCCGCCGCCGCCGTCTGCTGACACTGTGTCGATTTTCGAGTCTAGCCACGCCCTGGATGAGACGGGCCGCTGGTGCCGACGGTGCCGTGGGTCCGCGTCTGTCTCGCTAGCTAGATCTTGGAGAGGCTCCCAGTGTTTTCGCCTAGTGTCTATTGATGGCTCCCTTAGAGGACTCCAAGCTGGGGCGAGGTTGCACATCGCTGGGGGGTGGACCCACCCCTCCCACATGTTGCGCTTCCACCAGGACATAGGGGTCTGGTTCTGCGCCACCTGTGGGATGTACGGGGACCGACAATTGTTAGGTTTGGGTAAGTTGTGCCCCAAGGTGGTGTCCGTTACCCGTGCCGAGTATCTTTCCCGAATCGAGCGGGGTTTATTCCCCAAGGCTTACAGTAAAGCTGAGCTCGTGAGGAAGACTGGGGCCCATAAGGGGCCTTAGTGGCGGGGGGGTTTGGCCCCGCTCTCCTATTCATCTGGACTTCGTCCTGGCACTCCCGACTCCCGACTCCTCCTCCTCCTCCTCCTCCTCCTCCTCCTCTTCCTCCTCCTCCTCCTCCTCCTCCTCCGCCTCCTGCCTGGTAGTCTCGCCCCCTGCCCCTCTCCTCCTCCTCCTCCTCGTCCTGGTCGTCTCCTCCTCTGGTCGTCTCTTCTCCTCCTGCCTCGTCTCCTCCTCCTCCTGCTCGTCCTTTTTCTTTCTCCTGCTCCTCCTGCTCCTCGTCCTGCTCCTGCTCGTCTCGTCTCCTGTTCTTCTCGTCCTCCTCCTCGTCGTGCTCTTGCCCCTCGAACAAATACATCTTGCCCCTTGCTGGAAATGTGGCCCAGAATGGGAGTTCTGGGAATCGAAGCAGGAGCACAGAAGTTGCCTACAGGTGGCCACGGGCAAATCAAAATGTGGCTGGGAAAGGGGTTCCTGGGAACTCGAAGAGCACGAGTGGCCTACAGTTGGTCTCCGTGCAATTCAAATGCGGCCCAGGAATGGAGTTCTGGGAACTCGAAGACCACGCAGTGGCCTACAGTTTGGCTCCGGGCATTGAAAATCATACCCACGAATTGAATTTTGGGAACTCGAAGAGCACGAAGTGGCTTACAGTTGGCTCCGGGCATCCAAAATGTGGCCCGGGAATGGAGATCTGGGAAGTCGAAGAGCACGAAGTGGCCTACAGTTGGCTCCGGGCATTCAAAATGTGGCCCGGGAATGGAGTTTTGGGAGGTCGAAGAGCACGAAGTGTGTGACTGTTGGCTTAAAACGACTTCTGCGGCACCCTGTCCGGCACCCGCCCAGACCCCCCTGTGGAGTCATCTGCTGCTCTCTTTTGACCCTACTAGAAACCTATCAGAACAAGCTGTTAGGTAAAAATTATCCCGGCAAAGCAACCTAACAGCGATGTGTAGAAGCATATATGGAAACATTCCCCTTAAAATCCAGATGAGAATCCAGTTGTAGAATTCTCCTGTTCTCGCAGTCGCAGTCGCATTCGCGATGACAGTCGCGGTGGCAACGGCAGTCACAGTCACAGCCTCAGCCTCAGCCTGCCTCAGTATCAGCCTACCTCAGCCTCAGCCTCAGCCTGCCTCAGCCTCAGCCTCAGCCTGCTTCAGCCTCAGCCTCAACCACAGCCTGCCTTCAGCCTCGGCCTCAGCCTCAGCCTGCCTCAGCCTCAGCCTGCATCAGCCTCAGCCTCACCCTCAGCCTGCCTCAGCCTCAGCATGCCTCAGCCTCAGCCTCAGCCTGCCTCAGCCTCAGCCTGCATCATCCTCAGCCTCAGCCTCAGCCTGCCTCAGCATCAGCCTGCCTCAGCCTCAGCCTCAGCCTGCCTCTGCCTCAGCCTCAGCCTGCTTCAGCCTCTGCCTCAGTCTGCCGTCGGCCTCGGCCTCAGCCTCAGCCTGCCTCAGCCTCAGCCTGCATCAGCCTCAGCCTCAGCCTCAGCCTGCCTCAGCCTCAGCCTGCCTCAGCGTCTGCCTCAGCCTGCCTCAGCCTCAGCCTCAGCCACAGCCACAGCCTCAGCCTCAGCCTCAGCCTCAGCCTGCCTCAGCCTCAGCCTGCATCAGCCTCAGCCTCAGCCTGCCTCAGCCTCAGCCTCAGCCACAGCCTGCCTCAGCCTCAGCCTCAGCCTGCCTCAGCGTCTGCCTCAGCCTGCCTCATCCTCACCCTCAGCCTCAGCCTCAGCCTCAGCCTGCCTCAGCCTGCCTCAGCCTCAGCCTGCCTCAGCCTCAGCCTGCCTCAGCCTCAGCCTCAGTCTGCCTCAGTATCAGCTTGCCTAAGCCTCAGCCTCAGCCTGCCTCAGCCTCAGCCTCAGCCTGCTTCAGCTTCAGCCTCACCTTAGCCTCAGCCTCAACCTTTTCCTCAGCCTCAGCCTCAGCCTGCATCAGCCTCAGCCTCAGCCTCAGCCTGCCTCAGCATCAGCTTGCCTCAGCGTGTGCCTCAGCCTGCCTCAGCCTCAGCCTCAGCCTCAACCTCAGCCTCAGCCTCAGCCTGCCTCAGCCTCAGCCTGCCTCAGCCTCAGCCTCAGCCTGCCTCAGCAGCAGCTTGCCTCAGCCTCAGTTGGCTACGGGCATTCAAAATGTGGCCCGGGAATGCAGTTCTGGGAATTCGAAGAGCACGAAGTGGCCTACAGTTGGCTCCGGGCATTCAAAATGTGGCCTGGGAATGGAGTTCTGGAACTCGAAGACCACGAAGTGGCCTACAGTTGGCTCCGGGCATTCAAAATGTGGCCCGGGAATGGAGTTCTGGGAACTCGAAGAGCACGAAGTGGCCTACAGTTGGCTCCGGGCATTCAAAATGTGGCCCGGGAATGGAGTTCTGGGAACTCGAAGAGCACGAAGTGGCCTACAGTTGGCTCCGGGCATTCAGAATGTGGCCCGGGAATGGAGTTCTGGGAGGTCGAAGAGCACGAAGTGTGCGACTGTTGGCTTAAAACGACTTCTGCGGCACCCTGTCCGGCACCCGCCCAGACCCCCCTGTGGAGTCATCTGCTGCTCTCTTTTTAGCCCATTAGAAACCTATCAGTCTTCGCTGTTAGGTAAAAATGACAAAGAAGCTTCTCGACGTCGCGACCCTCTGCCCGACCGCGAGCGAGAAGAGCGCGAACGGCAGGCCGAGCGCGCCGCAGGCGTTCAGGAGAAGCATCGAGACGCCCACCCCTTCGATCGATGACCCAGCCCAGCAACTTGGCGACATTGCCCTCCCCGCCGCGATCCTCCTCATGCACGACTCCCCAGAGCAGCCATGGCCGACGACGCCGATTTATCCACGTTGTATCTGTTGGACGAGATCGCAATGAAGTTGTCCACATACTGCGCGCGACGCGGCTGGCGAAGGTCGGAGCTGCACGACTCGTCGGCAATCCTATACTGGGGTTCGGCACCAGCTGACTCTACGATCCTCTCATATATCCTTCTGCAAAACCAAGCGGCCCAAGACCGACCCATTGGAACTCCAGCGAGCCCCGGGTAAACCCTCTCGCGCGCAGCCACGGCTCGAACCCCAATCTTCGCGCAGCCTGCCGAACAAGCCAGCGCGGGCCGAAAAAGTCAAGCGCCTTCTGAAAGGCTCGGAGGCGCCCATGCGATAAAAAGCGTCGCTCGAATCAACGCCAGCGACAAAGATGTCTTCGTCGGCCGCCCTCCGTCCTCGCGCGCAAAATCGAGCGCGCCCCTGGCGGCGAACGCCGCCATGCACTCCCCGCGCGCTCGCGGGCGTCTCAGCCCGGGGTCGGAGTAGGGGGCGGCAACGCCTGAAGCCCTGAGTCGGGCGCGCGACCGCTCCGGCGGAGCGACATTCAACCGGCAGAGGTCATCCACCAGTTGGCACTCGGCGTCGCCCCACAGCTCAGACAAAGGAACACGCCTTGGGCCAAGTCGGGCGCGCCCCCCCCCAAGGGAATTTTCGACGAAAAATCAGAAATACCCCGAAATAATCAAAAATAAAACGAATAGTCCATACATAGTCTGGGGACTATGTTTGGCGCATGTTTGACAAGTTCGGCGCGCGTTTTGATTTTTTATCTTTCGCCCAAAATCCCCCTGCGGGGGGCGCGCCCGACTCAGGCCTCGGGCTGCCTGATGGCAGCGAGACGTCAGCGAGAGAGTAGCGACCGAGCGAAGCACAGTCCTCGTCGCACCAGCTCGCCACGCGAAGCTTCCTCAGAGCTTCCGCGGGCGTGGCCCCCTCGGCTGGGGAGCCCGGGTCACGCACGGCACATCGGACGCGGTCCAAAGCGCTGGCCTGGCAAGAAGAGGCAATGAAGAAAGAGCCGCCATCGCAAGCATGCTCGAGCGATGTGCCCCGAGCGGTGCGAGGGCGGGGCTGCGGCTGGTGAGAGCAAAGCGAACTGAAACCCCGCAGGGCACGGTCAACTTCGCGGCCCCCAGCACGACGTCGGCGCAGCCTCTGCCGCGCCCCGCGCGACATCTTATTGGAGCGCACCTGATCCACGCTGAAAACCCCCCGCGAGAAAGGGGGGCAGCTCGCGAGGCACACGCCGAGCCGAGTCGCGCACCCAGCCCCCCCACGGAGCGCGAAGGCCAGGAGGAGGAGGACCGATAGAGGAAGAGGCAGGAGGCAGGGAATCGAATTGGCAAGCTCCACTGGGCGGCCCCAGAGCCAAGCTCACGGCAGCCCTGCGAGATCGGAACAGCTCGGGCCCGCCTGTGCGAGGCGAGCCGCACGGATCAGAGGGCCCCGTCACTCCCTCCAGCAGTGCAAGAGGGTGCGGCCGCGACGCGTGGCCATCACACATTGTCCTTATTGTTATTGTTCTCCTTGGTGCGAGCGGCCTCCCGCTCCTCCCATGCCTCGCGCAAGTTTGGCCAACGACGCCCCCCGCTCGACCTCGCTACGTACGTGGTCCAGCAAGAGCGGGCAGATCATCAATGACCCTCCAGCTCGAGACGTGCCCGCGCACGCCATCTGCTCTTCTAGGCTGAGCTTCCCTCCGTGCCCCTTCGCCTCCTGCTCGCGAGCTCGCTCGGAATGCGCGAACTCTATCGTCTGCAAGCGGCGGAGGAGACTCTCCACCATCACGAGATTGCTACCATCCACTCGATCGTGCAATAGGCCAAACTTCAGGGCCTGCGTCACATTGCAGTGCTCGGACACACCCCACCTCGAACTCTCCAGCATGCAGGTGCTCCTAAAGCGCTCGCGGTGTCCGTCGAGCCCGAGCCCCTCCTGATTCACAAACTCCAGGCACAACAGCGTCGATCGCGGTCCTGGCAGGTCCCAGTCGTCTGTGAACTCGCGCACTACGTCGACGACCATCTCGGCCCACGTCCTCTCACGCCGCCCCTGGCGGTTGCGGCGCACGGCCATGATGCGAGCGTCGCCCGAAACGCCCCTGTCGAAGAAACTCCTCTCCACGGCGGGCGACACCTCCTCGTCGAACAGCGCGGATCCGTCGGGAAGGATGTGCATGTCCTTCGCGCCCACAGCCTGCGCCGTCCGCGTGTGGCCGGGGCCGGGGTCACCGAATTGGAAACCGCCGCCGGTCTCGGCAGCCCTCCACACGGTCCCCGCCCCCGCCTGCGCGACGAGCGGCGCGACGCCCTGCAAGGGCCCCTGCAGGTGAGGCGCCGGCGCGGCGGCGGGAGCGACTCCACCTCCAACGATGACCCCTCCCTGAGCCGCTGCAGCGCCAGGCGCCACAGGGGCCGCCGCCCTGACGGCAGCAGGCGCGACCACGAGGGCTCCCCCCCCGCCGGCGCTTGCACCCACGACCTGGCCCACGGCGCCGATCGGCAGCAGCCACACGAACCCAGGGGCAAGCGGGCCTCCGCCGCGCGCCGCGAGGAGGGCACGTCCCTCTGTCTCAGCCTCGTCCGCGGCAGCCTGCTGGAACTCGGCGTCGTGCGCGGGCGTCGGCTCCCGCCTGAGGCGGTACACCCGGTCCCGCGGCACGCCCGCAGGGATGTCCCGATACCCCTGGCTCCAGCAAGCGGCCACCACGTCCGGCGAGGTCGGAGACCAGTCCTCGGCGTCGACGTGCACGTCGGCCGTGTGGCGGCCACGCACAGCTTACCATCCCGAGTGCGCCACCACCCCGTGCACCCTCCTTTGATGCCACAGCGGCTGGCCGCCCACGTTGTATAGGACGCAACGCCAGCTCATCGTCACCGTCTGCCTTCTCGATCGTCACCCAGTGGACCCGACGAACCACCCGCTGCAGCGCAAAGGCACCCGTCACCAGGCCGGCGCCGACGACGATCCCGAGGAGGAAGATGAGCAACGCCCACAGCCAGAGACGAGGAGCAGCGCAGGCCTCGGCCTCCTGGCCCCGCACCGGTGCCTCTCCCGCCGCTGCTGTCGCCGCTGCCGGACGACAGGCTGGGCAGGAGGAGGAAGAGGAGGAAGAGGAGGAGGAGGAGGAGGAGGAGGAGGAGGAGGAGGAGCAGGAGGAGGAGGAGGAGGGGGAGGAGGAGGAGGAGGAGGAGGAGGAGGAGGAGGAGGAGGAGGAGGGAAGAGGGAGGAGGAGGAGGAGGGAGGAGGGAGGAGGGAGGGAGCTGGGCACGCTGGCACCACGCAGTCCCTGCGGACCAGCCCTGGACGGGGCGGGCAGCCCGACTCCGGGCAGGCGGGGATCGATGGGCAGCAGGCGGCGTAGTTCACGATCCCCTGGGCCAGGTACTCGGGGCCCCGCTCGAGCAGCCAGTCCCGCATCCACCGTGCGCGGCGTGGCGGCCCCAGCCTTTGAAGCTTGAGCCGCCGCAGCTGCGGCGAACACAAAAGGATTTCGGTTCGTGTCGACTGGGGGTCGAGCGGCTGCAATCCGATGAGACGCACAGGATTCACGTACAAGTACAACCCATCATCACCACCGCCACCATCATCACCATCACCACCAACGTCGACAGCATCAGCATCATAATCAGCAGTATCGCAGTCAGCCTCCCCACCATGCATCAGCGTCGCCATCCTCATCGTAGTCAATGCCGCACGCATCATCGTCAACGCCATCATGAGCAGTATCATCATCATCACCATAATGGTCCTCATCATCACCAACATCATTATCGGGGGTTGGGGGGTGAGATCGCAGGGAAACGGAGACCCCCCACCGGGAAATCGGTTTCGGTTTCGTGTTCGTGTGGTGCGTGCGGGCGAGACGAAGCTGCGCGTGATCCTCCTGTAGCGAGGCCGAAGTAGGAGCGAAAGTCCGTTACCGTCCGCCGGTGGCTGGGAGGTGTCCCAATTGGGCCGGGCGGTGTCCCGGGTGTCCCGGGTGTCAGTAGGAGCGAAAGTCCGTTTCCCGTCCGCCGGTGGCCGGGAGGTGTCCCAGTTGGGCCGGGCGGTGTCACGGTGTCCTGGGTGTCCCGGGCGTCCTGGCGCTAACGCATGTCGCTAATTTCATAATTCATGTTTTTCGGCACCTGCGGCGGGCTTTCTTATCCAATCCAGCTTATCTGATCCAATCCATCTTGTCCAATCCAATCCATCTTATCTTATCCAACCCATCTTGTCCCATCTTATCTCATCCCACCCAATCCAATCCACCCAACCCAATCCATCAATTCATTTGTTTCTGCGCCTGCGGCGGGCCAATCCAATCCATCTTATCGTATCCAATCCACTTCTTCCCATCCAACCCATCTTATCTTATCCAATCCAGACTATCCAATCCATCTTATCCCATCCAATCCAATCCACCCAACTCAATCCATCAATCCATTTTTGTCGGCGCCTGCGGCGGGCCTTCTTATCCAATCCAGCTTATCTTATCCAATCCATCTTGTCCTATCCAATCCATCTTATCTTATCCAATCCATATTGTTCCATATCCGCCGGCCCCCTTGTGGGGCCACCAGGCTGTAGGCCCGTGATTCGCAGTTTCCTGTACCAGTCGTAGGTTGTAGTTTCCAGTGTTACAGTTCTGCTTCTTGCTGGTTACTTTAACTAGTTTGCTTCTTGCTGGTTACTGTAACTAGTTGATTGCCCGCGCGAGGGGGGGGGAGGCCCAAACAGGATTTTTTAGCACCCCCTGGGCGCGTTGTCTGAATTGCTGGGGGGGCTCAAAATCGACACCCCTCACGCAGATCCGCGGGGTCAGGGTCCAAAAAACACAAGGGATTTGCCACATTTCTGAAATTCGGTGCCACCCCTCACGCAGATCCGCGGGGTCAGGGTCCAAAAACACAGGGGATTTGCCACATTTTTTAAATTCGGTGCCACCCCTCACGCAGATCCGCGGGGTCAGGGTCCAAAAACACAAGGGATTTGCCACATTTCTGAAATTCGGTGCCACCCCTCACGCAGATCCGCGGGGTCAGGGTCCAAAAACATATGGGATTTGCCACATTTCTGAAATTCGGCGCCACCCCTCACGCAGATCCGCGGGGTCAGGGTCCAAAACACAAGGGATTTGCCACATTTCTGAAATTCGGTGCCACCCCTCACGCAGATCCGCGGGGTCAGGGTCCAAAAACACCAGGGTTTTGCCACATTTCTGAAATTTCGACGGTGCCACCCTTCCAACGCACATCCATCGCACAAGGGGCGTGGTAAAACCCAAACTGCAGAACTCCCTCTCTCTTCTCCCTCGGCCCTTTAATAAATTAAAAATCGCAAGGCGTGGGTAACCGCAAGCCCGTAAAACCATACACAAGTCTAATTAACCAATCGCCAGGTGGTGTGGGGTAACCGGCCGCTCTTGTGATCAGTTGGTTTTGCTGATTGCGAATCGGCTTCGCATGAAGTTTCGATACTGCTTCACGACAGCGCCAAGACCTCATGACTTAGCTCTTCCATGGCCCATTCCCCGAGAGAGGGGGCCGGCGGCAGGGGGCGAGGCCCTTACGGATTATCTTATCCCACTCAATCCAATCCACCCAACCCAATCCATCAATTCATTTGTTTCTGCGCCTGCGGCGGGCCAATCCAATCCATTTTATCGTATCCAATCAATTGTTTCCAATCCAACCCATCTTATCTTATCCAATCCATCTTATCCCATCCAATCCAATCCACCCAACCCAATCCATCAACTAATTTTTGTCGGCGCCTGCGGCGGGCATTCTTATCCAATCCAGCTTATCTTCTCCAATACATCTTGTCTAATACAATACCTCTTATCTTTTCCAACCCAGATTGTCCCATCTTATCGTATCCCACCGGATCCAATCCATACAACCCAATTTATCAATTATGTTGTCGGCGCCTGCGGCGGGCATTTGATCTCAATCCCCCCCAACCTCCTTATCGCCCGCAGGGCGGTCGTATAGGTACCATCATCCTCGTCGTCATCATCATCATCATCATCATCATCATCATCATCATCATCATCACCAGCATCATCACCATCTTCATCGCCATCGCCGTCGCAATCGCCATCGTCATCAACACCATCACCATGACAACCACCACAACCGTACATTACGTTCGCGATGGTAACGGCCATCATCAACACAATCGGCAGCACCTCGCTCAGCATCCTTAGCATCTCAATCATCATCAGCACCAACCATCTCCTCCCCCTTCCGGTGTCTTCCTGCTCTCTCACCCCTGCTCCCTCCTCCGCACCAGGTCATTCCTTTTTGTAGTGCGCCCTGTCGCCTGGGGGGCTGTCGCCACCCACCTGGGTGCTGAGAAAAAGCCTTCCGGAAGGGGAGGGCCTGGTGCCAGGCCCGCGGATTCAGAACAGGAGGGAGGGAGGGATGAGGGAGGGAAATGGCGAGGGGAGAGGGGAGAAAGGGAAGGAGGGAGGGTGGGAGGGAGGGAGGGTCGGAGGAGGAGGAGAGAGAGAGAGAGAGCACGAGGGGGGAAAAGGAGGAGGAGGAGGAAGAGGAGGAGAAGGGAGGGCGGGGGGGAGGGGAGGAGGGGAGGGAGTCCCCTCCTCCTCTCTTTCTCCGCACCCGGGCAATGTCCGTACGGCCCGGGCGGCGGCCCATACGGCCCCGGCGGTGCGTGGCCAGGGGGCGGGTAGCCAGGCGGCGGGCCTTTCGTGGGCGCGCCACGCGGCGGCAGGGAGGGGGGGGGGGGAAGAACGGGAGGAGGCAAGAGAGGGAGGAGCAGTATAAACCCAAGACGCATCAACGACGTTGGATTCATAAACCCTACAAGACTGTACGCTCACTGCATAAACCGTCCCGTTGGAGGACAACGTTCCGCAGAATTCCCCCCCCCCAAAAAAAAAACTCCAAAAAGGGGAAATGCATTTCCAGGACCAAACAAAAAAACTGCTTGAATCCCACCAGCCTTTTAAGGCGTAGATGGTCTAGGGGGTTTCCTCTTCCAACCGCCTTCTTCCCCTTCGGGGAGGGGTTGATCACTGTTCCCTTTTAATGTACACCCCCTCCTCCAGGCCACTGGGAGCCAACCAGGCACCCCCCCACACCATCCCTTGTAAAAAACACACACGCACACACAAACACACACACACACACACAAACACACACACACACACACACACACCAAACAACAACAAAAAACACTCTGCATCCAAATTCGGAGCATGCGCAGCGAACCCGATGCGGCCTCCCCCCCACCATCCCTGACAAAAAACAATACAATGTACACTTGGCGGCGGCGGCGGCTGCGGCGGCTGCG